GACACAGCAGAGGCACGACTACAGTAAAGAGACTAGACTAGAAGCTGGAAGGGTGGGAGGTGGAAGTTTCCACGCTGTGCTGTGAAACGGGACCATTTCCCTCTGATCTGACACCTCCCCAGGCCAGGCGTGCCCTAGCGGAACTGGAGCGGGCTGATCCGCAGCCCGATGACATCTTTGCCGACCTCCGTCACCTGAGGAATAAAAGGGAGATGATTAATGCTGAAAAGCAACTCAACAGCCCAACCCCCTACGCAGCGCTCGGAGCCTGGACGGCTCTCGAGAACGCACGCTGCCGCTCACAGCGATGTCGGTCCCCGATGGTAGCGTTTAAACTACACCGTATTTCACGACTCCCAAACCGTTCCACCTCACAGGTGAAGTCCTCCCATGTTTGACGTGACCCACAAGCCAATGCGGTTTAGGGGGAGCAGGGGGGGAAGCTGCTGAAGGGGATTCTCAAGGGAAAGATCACCAGGAGCAGGTATCAGACGTTGAAACTCCCTTACTGTAGTGACACGGCAGATCTGCCCCCGGAATTCGGGGCAGTAGCAGGCTCCGCTGAGAGGACACTTCTCCACGGGTTTGCCACGGTAGATGGGGCGATAGGAGGCAGCGCAGATGTCAAAGGGGTTGTGCATGTCATAGTTGAGCTGGTAGGTGTCAGTGGGATTCTTCTCGCACGCTGACAAGATCTTGCGAGTCTGCAAAAAGCAAACACATTGACCAGGAGGGCAGCTAGGAAGCAGTCCCCATCGGATCTGCCACAGCAGATATTTCCGCCCATGCGCCTCACAGACGTACCTGCTGGGCCACCTCAGGCTTCGGACCCAGCTCCAGCAGCCGACGGGCAAAAGTAGCAGCCGTCTTGAAGTTTTTGAGTTTGAAAAAGAGGTTGAGAGCAGTACGCAGCACCAAGATCATGTGGACGGGCTGCAGGTTGGAGTGGGTGAAATAGGCAGCCATCTGCATTAGGGAGAAGGAGGGAAAGTAGGGTTACGATCACTACCAACCACGTGAATAACTGGGTGCCCTGAAAAGGCTGCAAGAAACCCCTCCCAGGTAATCACTGCCACTCTGCTTTAAAGGAGGAAATGGCAGAATTCAGGATTCCCCATGCCCTTTTAAACCCAAAGGCTACTTCGCCCTCCCAGCAAAGAAATTCAGAGTTTCTGTACCTCGCAGATTCGCTTCTGCTGCTCCAGGGTCTCTTTGGGCAGCTTCTTCCGCTCAATCTCCATCGAGAGCCCTACAATATACTCCCGGCAAATGGCTATCAGCTGCTGGGCCTTTCGGAGAGGGAAACAGAGTCAGGCATTCGGCCTCCTGCCCCACAGGCACGCAGCAGACGGACAGAAGAGTCTGTCTCACCTCGGCAATCTCCTGCTTGTTGTCCACCACCAGCAAGGGCACACTGAGCAAGATGGAGCGGAACTTCTCCACGGCCTCTTCAAACTTGCCAGCCGTGGTGAGCTGGTAGCAGAGCTGCAGGCGCTGGATCAGATCGTTGAGTTTCAGCCCCACGGCAGGGAGGGCATTCTTCAAGCCAGCTTCTTTCCTGCGGGCATGAAAGCGGGGCTTAGGGGTACAAAGAGGAGCACTGCAGGAACACACACACTGTCAGCTCGACCACAACTTGTCAGAAATGTTCTGATCTAGGGCCACAGTGTTTTTCTTTGCCATTAGCTTAGCACAAAAGACATCTGTGCTTCCATAATTCTACCACCCACAATGCCCAGCTCGCTCTGCATTCGTGCAGGCTGGGAAGTCTGGCTCATTTTTTCTACAGTAGCTTCCAGGCACCACTGCGAAAACACACCCGTGGTTCTCTAGATGCCTCAGACCAGCTTGGTCAGTGGCAGAGCGTTAGCGCTAGAAAACACAGCAGCCCAACTGCCTCACCTTGGGTTTAGTCTCTAAAAAAAAAAAAAAAAGCAAAAGCAGTTCTTTAACATCTTTGCATCTAACAGCAGGCAGCAGAAAAATCCCACTAAAGACAGAATGCTCCCTATTTATACCCAGCAAACAGGAAGGCTCCTCCCTTCGCAACAGAGGGAGGAGACATTTCTGGCTACAACTGTCCAGGAGTTTGGGAGGTACGGCAGAAGGAGAAGAGCACAGAGAAGGAGCTAACCCAATTGCTTACCAGTTGCGATGTGGGTAGCCATACATGGTAGGGAGACATGGCAGGGCTTGGTAGGTCGTACGGCCACGGGCATAGGTCTGCAGGAACAGCTGCTTGTAGGGTCCAAAGTTTGTTACCCCCACCTGGTCATGGAGGAGCTGAAAGAAACACATTGATCTGCTGAGTAAAAGTTGTCCAGGGCTGTACAAAGGCCACATGGATATCACTCAGACCCAAAGCACCTCTTATTTTATACCCAATGCACAAAATGATCCACGAAAGGCCACAAACCAAAGCTTCAGAATGGATCACAGACAAAAATACACGGGGACAAGGGCACAATCTTTCAGGTAGAAACTCCAGGGGAAACTTACTCTCATTGCTGTCTCAAAGGAGCCTGCCAGAACGTGGTCAACAGGAAGCTGAGAATTGTTACACCACACCTACAGGAACAGAAGTGAAACGTATTGTGTATACACACACAATCTGTCTTACTTACCCTCCTCAGCCCTAAGTCCCCTAAACAAAGTTCCCGCTGTGCTCACAGATGAACATCAACAAGGACTGAACCCGAAAAAAAGAAGCGCCAAAGTAGAAAGTTTCTGAGAAAGACAATCAAAGACTTGTGCTGCTACCTGAGCTGGACTGGTGCCCTTGGTGGGTGGCACAAAGAATCCATCCTCTGCTGCTCCTGTTGGACCAGCAGGAACATCCTGGGGGGGAACACACAGAGCAGTGACTGGTGTGGAAGTTTCCAGCACCCAGATGAAATCAGAGCTGGCCTCAGCTGTGGTGACCAAGCCCCTGAAGAAGCCCACACACAGTTCACCCCCCACCACCACCACAAGCTGTCATTGCCTTCCCAAGTAACTACAACTGGACTGCTTAAGAAGCCTCCTACCAGTTCAGGGGGAAGATCCAAATCTTCTTCGACTTCCCATCCACCTCCTTCTTCCTGTCCTTTACCTAGACCTTCCTCTCCAAAGCCCTCTCCAGCATCCACAAAGCCATCTGTATGGAGGGAGCAGGGGAGAAACAGTCAGAGCTCTTACAGAGGCACACACTTACACTTCTGCAGGAAAAACTCTTGGATTCACCCACCTTCATCCAGCTGCAACTCTGCATCTTCTCCCCAGCCTTCGGTGCCAACAGTGTCGATATCAATATCAGCAGCCAAGGCACCCCCTTTGCCTACAAAAAGGGTAGGATCCTTCATTTACTCATCTCTTGAGTGGGTCAGGAGTTAAGCAAAGAATTATGTTAGGCCAGCACCCTCCCCTCCAATTGCCAAGTCCTATCTTGTGCAAAAAGGCCAAAGATTTGAGAGATTTGCCAAGGATGCTGTAAATGCCAAGCTGGATTCCAACCTGTGCTAGTAACACCCAACAAATCTGAGGTTAACAGCAGCAGTTCAGGAGCCATGGAAACCTTCTCCATTCCACACATCCCAGCTTAACTCAACTTGCCAAGCACAAAGCAATACCTTTGCTAGCAATTGTTCCTTCAAAGAAGCCCTTGGAGACAGTCAGCAATGGCCAGTTGGTATCCAGAGGCATAACAGGAGCAGGAGGCTGCAGCAGCTTTGCATTGTGATCGATGTCTGGAATCTGAGCAGAGAGGAGCAGAAAACAGTTAAAGGCCACATAAGGAAAATCCCATTCTTTGACCTACCCGCCTCCAAGTGGCACAGACAGCCTCAAGCCTGATAAGCGGGGACTGGAATCTCTATTGAATCTCATGGTTCCTCCCTCCCAGAAGGGAGCTGCCTAGCCAGTCACACCAACACCAGCTCCCACTCTCATCTTCTTCCCAAACTCTAGAGCTCTTGTAATGAAGTAGGAAGGACGAGGCAGTTTGCTAACCGTTTCCTTCTCAGGATCAAACGTTTCCTTCAGGCTTTCAGCTTCCTCATCCAGACCATGAGTTGCAGCTGTGAGATAGGCCAGGGACTCTGAAAGGAGATATAACATGAGTGCGTGTTCTTCATTGCTTAGAGAAAGAAAACTTCTCACGCCAGCATGCATGGCCACACCATCACAAAGATCAGCAGCGTACCAAGGGGTAGAATCACACCCTTAGGGGTGTCACTGGATTTAGGACTAGAATGTGCAGGCAACGACAGACCATTTCAATATGCTCTCCAGTGGATTCAGGTCTCCTGGATGATATTTTAGCTCTCAGGGACTTTCTGCCCATCTGGTTCAGTTTCTCAGGTAAGGGATTAAGCTGATCTACCTCCAAAAATTACTGTTGATCCCAACAACCTCTCCAGCTTCTCCCTAGCCCACAGGGACATGTGTTAGTCTGATATTACTCACTTTGCCCACAGTTCTTCAGGATCCTCACTCTCTCTGCCACGTCTCCTAGATACAAGGCATTCTGGTAGTGGCCACTCATATCCTTACGGATCTCAGCTAAATCAAAAGAAAAAAAAGTCACGATAGCTTTGCTGTTCTTGGCCTCCACTGTGATGCCGCTCATTC